AGGTACCCAAAAGAATATTTAGATCAAGCCCTTGTACCCGTCTGATTTTTGCATAAAATATTAGTGTAAATAAACAATTTTTTGCTGTTTCAATTTCACATTGAGTAAGAATTCTTTTTTAAATCCTTTTTCTTGCATATGGGAAAATCCTCGTGCTATTTTGTGCAATTAAAAACAACTTAACTGTCAAATGCATTACTTCTCAGCCCCCCCTTACTTAAATTGCATACATAGCTGACTCACTTCTGACAGCGATTTCGACAAAGATTCTCGATTTAGTACCAGAAGCATCAGCTATTTGGCCATTTGATCAATTGAAGAAAGAAATTATTTCACAAATGACCATTTCAGAATGGTACAAAATATTACAGCAGTTAACAAATACAGAAAATCTAAGAGACAGGAAACTTGATCTATTTCTAGAATTCACCCTGTGGCATGTATTCATACAAAGATTAACAACAAGATACTCAACCAATCTTAGCTTCTATAGAAACTAATATGTCTTGAGATAAATTTACACAGACTGTTGACATGATCATAGATATTTCAACACCAAATTACTATTTATGCAGTGTTACCTTCCCAAAAGAAAATACTTTTATAAAATTGATTGAAAAGAAGATAATCTAGAAAGTTGAATCCCAACAAACAATTTGGTTAATCTATAGGAAACAATACAAATAAGTTTTTTGAAGCCAATCACAAACTCTGAACTGTTACATGTTGTCCTTTAGTAGGACAGTTTTTATTGAGCTGAGGTTTTTAATTGGAAAAAAGGCCACTAAATTTAAAGTGCCTGGCATCTTTGCTAAGTTTGCCCTTGTTGAATTAAGACTCCTGGATATTTGTAGATGGGTGTTAAAAACAGAAAAAACAATTTAAATCAGCAAATTTATTTAAAAATTTTTTTAATCATTCCCCCCCCCCAACAAGTCAACAAAGCCACTAAGATGCAGGGGGCTTACTGAGTGTGAAAGAATATGAGAAAAAGAAAATCATTATTAATTAACAAGAACAATAAAAGAACAGAAATTTTACTATCAAAGTGCATTTGAAATGATTTTACTATGGAAATACATTGAAAATAATTTTATTATGAAAATGCCTTGGAAATGTTTTACTGTAAAAATACATTGGAAATAATTTTACTATAAAAATGCATTGGAAATGATTTGTCTATAAAAATGCATTGAAAATGATTTTACTAAGAAAATGCATTACAAATGATTTTACTAAGAAAATGCATTACAAATGATTTTACTAAGAAAATGCATTACAAATGATTTTACTATAAGAAAGCATTGGAAATGATTTTACTATGAAAATGCATTGCAAATGATTTTACTATGAGAAAGCATTTGAAATGATTTTACTATGAAAATGCATTGCAAATGATTTTACTAAGAAAATGTATTGGAAATGATTTTACTATAAGAAAGCATTGGAAATGATTTTACTATGAAAATTCACTATTGTTATCGCCTTCATTGAGGTGAAATGATTAAAAGAAAAAAGTTAAATTGATAATTTCTTCAAGGTTCAATTTTGAAATTTTTAATGAAATTTTCTTGTTGACTGCATAAAAACACCTTTTGATGAAGCTCCAAGATTCCCAATAATGTTCATATTTGACAAACATGTTGACCATTTCCTTTGACATAATTTTTTTACCCTAATTTAGCTAAGTATCCAAAAATTACAAATCCAAAATACAATGATTTGTAGAAATGCACAGTATATGAGTTTTTTTAATCATTTCACCCCAAGCAAGGCAAGAAAGCCATTAAGTCGCAGTAGGTTACTGAATGGAAAAGAATATAAGAAAAAGAAAAACATTACTAAGGAGCAAGAACAATAGAAGAACAGGAATTAAGAGGATAGAAGATAACAATCAATACTGCATTTAAATTTCTGAAGATTAAAGTTAACTGGAAAGCAAGAAGCTGGTAAAGAGTTCCACCAGTGAGAAGTGTAAGAAAAGAAACTGTTAGCATAGAACTTATGGTTACATCTAGACATTTCAACTGTAAGATTTTTTCAAAATTTCTGCCAATCTAGTACTGCATTTAAATTCATAAAGTCAAGGTACCATAGAAGAGAATTCATCAGAACAATTACCATGAAAAGGGAAGCCATGTTTTGACAGTGAAAGAAAGATTGAAGCCAAGATACCAGGTCAGGACCAATAATACTGAAGTAATAACAGAGAAGAGTTTAAAAAATACATTATGCTCTTCAGGATTTTAAACAAATAGAATAAACAGAAATGTATAAAATTTTGTTAATGTCCCTTTCTTTTGTGTATCTCTCTCTTCTATGTGCAATGTCAAACCTGGGCGATGATGGCTCTCCACAACTTTCAATCATTTGTAGCTCTTAGTATAACACTTTTTGCCACCACCTACACTCGGTGATGTAACCATGTTTTAGTGGTTCAGTCCTCAGATTCTTAGAACAACATTTTAGCCATGGGGCCAACACAATATTGACACTAGTCCAAGCTGATTGTTGGTTGCTGGCCACTTTGATCCACACCAACTATGCCCATGCTGTCTTCTTAATCTCAGAGAAGTGGAAAACCAAAGGTCATAGTCTTGCATCACCGGTTCAAGCCAAGGCAGGTGCTATATTAAAGAAAAAAATATCTTGATGATAAAAAATAAAACAAGAGATTCATGGGGTTAATCTTCAATTGATTTATATAGCTCTTGGTACAACAAAAATTAACCCTTCTCACATCAATCTCTATAGTAACACTGACTCTTATCTAAACTTCTGGAGGAACTGGGTTCAAAGTCTTGGAATCAGGAAATCTAGTTAGCAGCTGATGTGGGTTTCAGAGGTACTCAATGCAGGATCTCAGCCAAAAGCCTCCAAGCTCCTCATAGTCATCTGCTTATATCTACTTCAGCTCAAACTGGCATGAGGCAGAAGGCTTCTGGAGTTTTGATCATCCACAAATTTTCATTAATTCCAATAAAGGTTTGTGTTTGTTCCCTGTTTCTGCTTCCTTAATCAACTTTCCAAATTTGGAGAATTATCCATCTTCCTTGGGAGTAGTCACATGGATTGTTTCTTCCTTAACTCCAACCTGCTACACTTCACATCTCACACTATTACTCTGGACAGGCAGGGCCAAATTCTGCTCCTTTCTCCTTTCTTCTCAATATTCTAAATCTTCCCACTTCTCAGGGTTGGCATAACTGTCTTTGGGACAAATCTAATTTTTAAAGTGCATAGGAGAAAGGGTGTGGCTTATTTTCTTTATGAATTTCAATTATTTTTTTTATTTTTTTTTTAAGTATTATGCCCCGAGCAAGGTGTGAAGCCACTAGGATGCAGGAGGTTGCAGAAGATTTGGAGCGAGAGCAGATAGGAGTGATAGAAGAAAGGATGAGGAGAAGGATAGTGGATAGATCAAGGTAACTGGAGATGTTGATTGACATTACATTTGAATAGTTGGAGATTATAGCTCTCAGGGAAACAGTAATTGGGAAGGGTGTTCCACAGGCGAGAGGTGTGAGATATGAAGGTATTGGAGTAGAAGACACGGCTATATTTAACAGTTTCTACAGTGAAAAGGTGAGAGCGGGATGCCAGCCTTGTAGGGCGCTTGAATTCATGAAGTCTGGGAACCAGTGAAAGCAGCTCATCGGAGCAATTACCATGAAAGTATTTGCAAAAAAGACAGAGAGAGGCGACGGCGTGTCTGTGAGAGAGCAACTGTAGACGAGATGCCAGATCAGGGCCAATTATATTACATATCCATCTCTGGATCTTGTCAAGAACTCCAAGGTAAACAGAAGGTGCACCAGACCATATATGGCAGCAATACTCCATGCAAGGGCAAATGGTTGATTTGTATATTTGAAGGATCAATCCCAGGGAGAAAAATTTCCTGGTGCAGCACAGAGAGCCAACTTTCCTTGTGGTGGATGAAGCAATTAACTCAATGTACTGACACTTTTCCTAGACCCACTTCTCCAGCAAAAAATACAAACCAGATCACCTTCTCTTTTTAATCTTCTGAGCAAATAAATAAGAATTATTTCCAAATTTGTTTTTGTCAATGAAAATATATTTGTTTACCTAAATTCTCAACATGCTGTTTTCCATCCTTGGGCCAGTTGCTGTCTTAGCGAAAACATAAACCTGATCCCCTGCCTGTTATGATGGATCGATTTTCATAATCCTAACCTACTTAGCAGGTTCATTTTCTGTTTTCATTTCTTAATTTGACTTTGCTAACGAAAATATAATTTCTGTCTGTTTCTCTTTTTGCTAATGACATGTGTTTTTCTACTTTCCCAAGAAAGAGATAAAGACATTTTCCAATTTACTTTACCCACATGCCAGATTTTTGATAGATAAAAAAAGTAAATTCTCAGTACATCAATCCAGTTTGTAAGGGTGAAGCAACCAAGATGAGCGTTTCTTCAATTCCACATTACCAAGGAAAATGTCCTCCATTTTTTTTCTTTCTATCTCTACCTTCCAGTTTATATTTCATGTTGGGCTTAACCCCTTTTTTCTGCTTAGAATTAATATTTAACCATCCCATAGCCGCAGTGTCACATTAGTAAAGGTTGTCTTCTGCTGTCTCCCCTAATCTCTGTTCTGCCAACCATTGCACAAGATTTTTAGTTATCTGCTACTTTCCTCTGTCCTTCAATAAGTCTTGTGTGTATCAGATTTTCTAAGCTCTTTTTTCTCATTATGTGTGCTAGAAATTTCAACTATCTCTTTCTGATTCTAAGTATAAGCATCCTTTTTGTTCCCTAAAACTTTGTTATTGCTTACAATCCATGGCATTCTCAGCATCCTTCTGTAGAACCATATTTCTGTTGCCTCAAGTCTCTACTTCATCTTTAAGGAGATTATTCAGCATTCACTTCTATAAATGAAGACTGATATTATGTAGGAATTTAGTACTCTTTACTTTGTTTCTAATGAAATTTTCTTGTTTCTTAATACTTTACTGGGCTTAGAGCCACATCGCATTAAAACATTAGTTCCCATATGATCAGGAAAGTTAAGCAACGTTGATCCTGGCCAGTACCTAGATGGATGACCACTTGGGAATACCATGTGCTGTAAGCTTGGAGGTGCAGGTGGTGTAATGGATAATGGCTTGGAATTATTAATCAGAGAGCTGAGTTCCAATTCCCATTGTGCTTGTGTTATATTGTACCTATGGACTATAATAGGTATGTCCCAATCCTCATAAATACAGTGGAATATATTGTCTGGGGGGGATTCACCACTAGTTCAATACTAGCAGTAGATTATTTATTACATACCACTATCGAATCTTGTATTTTGTTAATATTATAATGATTACCATTCCATTTACAACCTTTGTTATGATTATTCTTATTCAGTAACCATTCCTAGGTTACAACAATGTGCTATCCATTTTATCTGTTGCTGTTGTCTTCAAGGGATGTAGTTTCTGGTTCAGTTCTTGGTTTACGATTCAGTAACACCAGTCCAAGAAGTTTAAAAAAAGATGGTTCTCACTAAGACCTACAGGCTTCATTCACTCAAAATAATTTTTCAAGCAAAACAAAACTTTTACTTGACAAGAAAATTACAAAATGGACATTTCTTGGTTATAACTGTCCTGTCTGTTAACTTTGGGATGAGAAGTTATTTGGATTAAATTTCAAGCATGTAAACTTAGGTTTTCTTAATAAGACAACCATTTTCACATAAACTGAGTCTGATGGGAACAATACTTAAAATTATCAGTACAAAGAAAACATTTTACTGTTATTAACAAAGATATGGTTCTACAGAAGAATGCTGAAAATACCATAGATCAAACATGTGAGCAATAAGGAAGTTCTAAGGAAAATAGAAACAATGTGCTATCCATATTATTTGTTCCTGCTCTCTTCAAGGAATTTATTTTCTGTTTGTGTTATATCGTACCTATGGACTATAATGGGTATGTCCTAATCCTCATAAATACAGTGGAATATACTGTCTGGGGGGGGGTGATTCATTTTGGTTATTCTTATTCAGTAACCTTTTCTAGGTTACAAAAGTTCGTTATATTCCCCTATATGCAAATACCTTTTGGAAAGGTATGAATCCAGCTCTTCTCCCCCCACAACTATTGGTTTATTAGTAATCACTAACCATTATTATCTTGAAAAATTCTTGCACTCTAAAAATAATTTCTGGCTTTAAATAACCTGCGAAGGGTTGATAAGATATAAAAACAAACAAATCAATTAATACTTCACTTAAATTTTTAAAGTCATCTTTTGTTATTTCAACCTTTGGATTTCAATATCGAGTTTCTCATCCTCTGTTAAAAGACTTCTTAGAAATTAAAATTTTTGTACTTGATTGATTGCAGTATCTCCAATCTCTAATTTGTGTGTTGGCTTGTCACTTATGTGAACAACCATACAATCTATCTTCTTACAATTTCTGTTTAATTCATTCTTTTTGCTTTTCTTTGCTACCTTCTGTAGGAATTTTTGTTATTTCTTTTCTTTGTCTGCTATCATATTCATTACTTACATATTAAGTTTCTGGTATCCTCAGCGTCTCTATTTCTGTTGTCTAAAGTTTTCTCTTCATCTGTGATGAGATTGTTCGGCATTCACTGCAATGAGGGCTGATATTATCAGGTCATCCAATAAGTTGTGTCCGAATTTGGAATAAAGAAAACAAGTAGCCAAATGTTACATTTAATTACAGATTCAGTCAACAATGTATTTTCCCTGATTATCTATGACTTCCTTCCATCTATTAACAAGCTTACTAATTCCATTACTGTAAAATTCTTTTGGCTTTGATTCGAAGAACTCACAAATGTCAGTTTTAACCTCTTCCTGTGTTACAAAAGCTGTTTCTTCCAAATGATTCTGTAAGCTACGAAACAAATGGTAGTCTGATCAAGCAAGTTATTCGATCTTTTGTGATGTGATTCTTGCATTAGGTGGTAAGAATTCAAAGTGGATTATTCCTTGGCGATCCCACCAGATTGAAAGAAGAACCTGTGCCCAGCCACTGCGGAGTTCATCACAAAAGGGCACATCTGACATGAACTTCTGGAACTGATTCAGTAATGATACAGCTGCGGACAAGCCCACCTTTAAGTCATAAATCCCAAACAAGTTGCTTTAACACTGGCATGTTTCCTTGACACTGACAGATATCTGTGTGCAAGAGTAAATTCATTAAAAAAATCATCATTGGCTTCAACCATGGCTTCTAGACAGCTTCAGAATCTCCTGCATCTTTTCTGGACAGTCTCCTTGTTTAATTTGGTGAATGATGCCATAATCCTTGCCTTCAGATTATCTTTGGTTTTACAAGAAGTTTTGTTGGTCTCTCACTCAACTGCACCCCATACATAATAATCAAGGGGTTTGCAGTCTGGGGAGTTAGGGGGCCAGATATAAGGGATGATGTGGTTGCAGAAATTGTCTTACAGCAATGACTGGGTTCTCCTGCTTGTGTGGCATGGTGCAGATTCCTTTTGCCAGACATAGGATCTTCCAGAAGCCACCCTCTTGAACCAGGGCAGCACTACCTCCTCAAGGCACTTGATGTAGGCTTCTGTATTGAGTTTGAGGCTCTCACCAACAAATTCAAGAATTCTTTTCTTATCAGAATGATCAGAGTAAGTTTTCTGAGCTGCCGTACCTTCATAATCACTATTAGAATCAACCAAATCTTTCCAAATTGTCTGCACTGTCCTCAGATTGACACATAAATTCCCTGAAATATTTGTATTGGAGCTTCCATCATGAATGCCAAGCACTACAGCATGTTGTTTCCAAATTTCTGGCAGAGTGAATTGTGCCACGGTGCTCTTTTCCTCACATCCTGTGCCCAATGGGCCCCACCATACTGTGCAGTCAACAAAATCAAGAACAAGTAACACGTATGTATGAAATTAAAAATATATATGTATATACAAGTACTGTCTGGAATAGTCTGCTGATACCAATTTTACAGTTTATAAAATAAGTGTTTTGGTTCAAACATATATACCATTTGGAATTTTAATAAACATGGAATGAAATATTTTTCCTTGAGAGAAAATTATTTCAAAGATAAGCATGCCATAGCAAGTAAGTTCTGTGCCAAGGACGGGGGTTAAATTGAAGGCAGTAATTGAATCATACCAGCCATTCTTTTATTTGGTACACCCGAGTATAATCGGATTATTTTGACAAATACTATGCTTGCTTTGTGTATTTCTCCATCTGTGCATATATATATATATATATATATATATATATATATATATATGTATAATGTGCACACAGATTGATAGAGTGATATATATATATATACAAATCTCTCATGTACTTTAATATGTATGTAACAAAAGCCATTTGAATACTGTAACATTGCCAATAAATTCTTTTTATAGGAAAAATTATAAAAATTTTCGACATCATTTCTTTCTCCACAGATTTTATTTTGTATATATAGGGTGTCAGTAAAATTTTGAAATGTGAACTTGACCTTTTAAAAATGAAGGAAATTCTTCAATGAATTCTACTGAGTTTCATGAATTCATTTTGTTCAATTATGGTAGAGTCTATTTTATATACAATTATATTTGTCTTCTAATTAGGTTGATGAAAGTTGTCTTTTTTTAAAATGGCTCCAGTGGCCTGCCGAAAACTAGGAAAATTCAGTTAGGATTAAAAGGGTCAATTTTATTTTTTTTAAATATTTTGTTTTTAAAATTGTTTCATTATTCTAATTTTATTCAGTTTTATCAGATTTTTATAGATTAGAATTTTGTCTTTTTTGTAATATAATTAATTGGCTTTTTCAATATTTTTCTTTTACTCACTGTCGCTCTGTTTTCTTTTTTTGGTTTTATTTTGTATTCTCAAGTAGGCATCTACGCAGGTGACATTACCATTTACTCCTGTATCAATAGTAAATCTGGCATTGCTGACAATAAATTAACCTGACCGTTAGTCTCAAAAAGAACCTCTAATCTGTGGTTGACTGGAGCAGGAAATGGCTAGTAAACGTTAATGCCTCCAAAATGAAACCTCTCATTTAGCCACCATGGAGAAACATCCCTGCCCCCTATCAGCATGGCTGATGCTCAATTTCATGAGAGTGTTTCTCTGTGCCTTCTTGGTCTCAGGCTTTCCACTGACCTGAGGTGGAACAACTACATTGAATCAATAGTTTCATCTACTGGAAGGAAAACTGGTTCTCTGTGTCATGCCAGGAGATTTTTCTCGTCTAAGTCCATCCTTCAAATCTACCATTTATCCTTGCATTGAATACTGTTGCCATATATAGTCTGGTGCCCCCGCTGTTCATCTTGAGGTCCTAGATAAAATCCAGAGATGGATATGCAATGTGATATGTCCTTATCTGGCATCTCAACTCCAGTTACTTTCACACAGATGTGTTGTGGCTACCCTCTGTCTTTTCTTTAAATATTTTCATGATAACTGCTCTGATGAGCTACTTTCAGTAGTACCCCAACTGCATGAATTTAAACATGCTACTAGGTTGGCATTTTGGTCCCACCCTTTCACTGTCAAAACAGTAACTACTTCTTCTACTCCAAGAGCTTTTTCTCTTGCACTTCACAACAGTGAAACTCCCTTCCTCTTACTTGCTTCCCTGATTACTATAATCTTCAAATATGTAAATGTAATGTCAATCAACATCTTCTGATGCCTTGATCTTGATTCCTGTCCTTCTTTTAATCCTTTCCTCAAACACCACTCTTTATTCTTACTTTAAATCTCGGTAAACCCTTGTATGCTTGCTTGGGGTGAAATTCTTAATAAAAAAAAATAAATATCACTTGTAATGAATTTTGGTTTCCATGTTTTAGAAAGAGACACTTCTCTTTATCTTGACCATATTTCTTTCTGAATATAACTGTCGATTTACAAACAGGAAATATGTGTTCTATTGAATTATATATGTTGTAGCATACCTACAGACAATAATGGGTATGTCCCCCATTCACATAAATACAGTAGTAAATACTGTATGTTGGTCTGCAGTTGGAGATTTCTCTCCGGCTGTACTGGTCAAACTCTCTGCCTCCGGGCAGAGAGGATCCCCAGACAAGACTATGTC